TGTAATCGGATATGCTCTTACATTAAGTGTGAGGACTTGTAATCAAGCTTTGGAATCTTATCTATTGTTGTTGAATGAAGTTTATTTTCTTGATTAAGTTATACATTTATTTTTTAGGATATTAAATATATAGTTCCAAAAACTAAAATTACCTAATTGGTGTTGCTTAATTCACAGTAGAAGCCAAGTTTGTGGGAAATTTTTTTTTCAATTTCCATAGAATACACATAATTAGAAAATGGCAACACACATTGAGCTCACAAGAGAGAATTTGAGCTCCATTTATGCATAACAAATTCTTAAAAAAGATAGTGTTATAAGTGTGAATAAACAATAAAATTAGGATTAATCCTATAGTTGGTTCAAAGAACCAAAACATGTGAGAATACCTTGAAATTTCATTGAAAAACCAAAAATCTTAATTATGGTAGTTAAAAAAGACAAAAATATGATATTATTTGATAATGTTAAATCTTTTCGTAGAAGTTTTCAAATAAACTATTAAAACTCAATCTAGACTAAAAATCAAACCAAATTATATAAAACCACCAAAAGATAGTTCTTCAATCAAACAAGACAACCTAAATTACAATGTGAATTATTGGTTTGTAAAAAAAATCACCAATTTAACCAAACCATTTTATATAAAAATATGCTTTGCATATTGTCTAGTGTACAATATTATTTTATTAATCTTTAACTTATTTTTATAAGCAACTTCAAGTGTCTAACAAAATAAGTTAGTTTATAAGTTATTGTTAAGTCAAAAAATGATATTGGATTCCTCAAGATTTGAAATTTTAATGTTAATAAGCGAAATGTTTTAACAAAAGAAAATTTCTTCAAAAATGATTATCAAACGAAGTTTGATACATAGATCGTCTATAAGATGATGTGAATTAAACAAAGCATACAGTTTGTCTTACATACATTAAATGTTCATTATTTATTGAGACTAATGACAAATTTTATTTGAATGTTTTATTCTTTAATAGATCAAACTCGAAAGTTATCTTGAAAATCGCAAATCTATTAAAGAGAACAAAGTCATGCTTAATTTCTGTCAGAACCAAGGACAAAGATGTCTAAAATCATGGAGAAAAGTAGATAAAGGTGTTATTGTTACTACTCTATGCTGACATTGCTTCTACAAACTTTGTTTGATATGAAAAGATGATAAGTAGCTTCTTTGATTACATAAGAGGTACCATTTCGTGAAATAGATTTAATGCTTGCATTAAATGAGTCAACGGTTACCTCTCATTATAAGGAAAAACAATCTTCTAAGCTGGACTTGATGTTGTAACGGTCATCTTCTCCAAAGTTACTATAAGAAGATTTGAAGTTTAGAAAGAAGTAGAGACACATTCTATAAATTATATGTGTGTATAAACATAATTCTTTCTTGTACGAAGCTTATTGTACTATATTGGTTGTATAACGTTTGAATGAGACAAAACAACATCTTTGTAACCTTTATAACCATTATTGTAAGGTTGATCTTGGAGATACTTGTTTGTGAAAAGAACACTTGGGTAATTGCTTGAAGAGACGAGTAAAAGAATATTTAGAGTTGAGCTAGAAGTGGTTTGTTGAAAGAATACTTATATCTTTGAAGATAGTAGAACTCAATTTGGTTGGACTGAGAATTAAACGTAATCTTAGTGGTTGAGATGAACCAATATAAAAATATTAGTGTGTCGTTTGACTTCTCTTTGCATTCCATCTAACTATTACTACTTCATTATGAAAAAGTGAGTTTTTGATACACATTATTCAACCCTCCTTTTAATGTTTATTTTCTCTCCATAGTTATTAACTTATTAGTTAAATTTATCAAACATTTTCAATTCATTCAAGTAGCTAATTTATAAGATTTTGGCTTTTTAGCTATTAACTGTGTTTATAATGTGTTTGACAAGATATTGGATGAACTTAGAAGTTAATTTGACTAACTTATAAAATGATTTAACCAAAATAAACTTATTTAATATTTTAGTAGCTTTTAACTTATTGCCATAAACACTATTGTAAGGAGGTCATTTAACATCGATTAAAATAAGTCTTTTATATTCGTTGTACAATCCAATTGATATACATTGGGTTTTTTTTATATCAGATATTGAACTGATATAACAAAAAGAAAATTCTACATTGATTTTATATTTAACCAATGTAGAAAGGTAAACATTTTACATTGGTTAAATTTATAATCGATGTAAAGTGTAACAACTTTCTACATCAATTATACCATATATAACTAATGTAGAATATTATTTTATAATTTTTTTGCTAGTTATTTGTTCTAGGGACAATATTATTTTATAAATTTATTGATAGTAATTATTTATTTTTGTATTTAATTATTCGAGGTAGTAGGGTGTCACATTTAGTGATTTGTAATAGCCTGAACATACTAGAATGAGAAAGATCCATTGATTTGTACAAATGTGAGATTATGTAGTTGAAAATGACTTACAAAAATTATTTTGTACTACTTATACCAATAAGATACATCTACTTTTTGGTAGCTAATCACTAAAGAACACTATAAGTTAAGTGAGTTTGACATAAAGCAAATTAGAGACCTCTATAATTAAGTAAGTTTGACATATAACAAAATAGGAATGAATGACCTTTTGGAAAGTTTCTCAAAAAGTTTGTGAGTGAGGACAAACACATGTTGAAAAGCCTCGTATTATTTTGTGGGATTAGTCATTGATCCTATAGGCGAAAGAACATCTCAAAAAGGACTATTGATGGAGGGTTTTGACCAGTGAAAACTTCTAACTAACGAGGAGTTGTGTGAAGTGTCATTGAATGAAGTGTCGTGAAGTGGAGCCACTAAGATGTCAAATTAGTGGGTGTTAAAAATGGTATCAATGCAAGTTCTTTCTCCTAGTACAATATGATTTAGGGATGAACTAGATGAAAGTTGGTGAACTTGTAACAGTCCGAACACAATAGAATGAAAGTGATCCAGATGATTGTACAAGTGTAAGAGTGTGCATTTGAGGATGACTTAAAAGAATTAACTTATACTGCCTATACCAACAAGATGCATCTTTGGCAAAGAACTTCAAAGTTAAGCATGTTTGACTTGGAGCGATTTGGAGATGAGTGATCTTTTAGAAAATTTTCTAGAAAGTGTATGAGTGAAGATAAAATATGCTGAAAAATTTTCTATTAGTTTGTAAAGTCAGTTGTTAATCCTATACATGAACAAAAATCTTAGCAAGGATTACTTATAGAGAGTTATAACCGATAAAAGATGTTAACCAACAAAAAAATTATGTAAAATATTATCATATGAAATATTGTAAAATAGAATTACTAAAATATCAAATTTAATGTGTTATAGATTCAATTTCAAGGAATCCGTACAAATGAGCATTTCCCTTTAACATACAAACTTCAAACAAATAGTTTACATTGAAATAAATGTTAATGTGACATTGAGTTATTTAATTGATAAAATCGAGGATAAAAAGTATTTACATTAACCATAAATGTGAAATTGAGATGTTACACTAACATCAATTAGCTAACTTAAAACTCTAAAAAAATTAAATTTGTTTTTTTTTTAAATTTGACACTTTTCTGAAAATGTAAAATATATATTTGGTCAAACACATAATTTATGTGTTTCTTTAAGTTATTAATTTATTATGAAAATTACTAATAAACTCACTATATATATTATAATATTTTGTGATTAATAATTAATAGGCTAAATTTATTTATTTTATTTATTAGATGCATATTAATCTTTTATGATCCTTTATCTCTTAAATTTGAATCAATTTAATTTTTATTTTTATAACAATGATTGTTTTTTAATTTAAAGACATATTTTAAAAAAAATTTCACTAATTCAAAACTTAAAATTTATCATGTTAAATTCACTTCTATGCAAGTAATTGAATTTCAAATAAAAATATTTTATAAACATAGTAAAAATCACACAAAATAAATTCAAATAACAATTAAATTTTTTTAAAAATTTAATTTCATATTACATTCTAATTATTCATCAAATATATTTTCCATACAATTTTTACTATGTTTATAACTCTTTTGAATTTGAAAGTTAATTGAACTTTATAATTTTTTTATATAAATAAATATAATATTATAATTTTATATTTTGAATTAATCAAAAAAAATTATTAAAATTAGCCTAGTAGTTGATTGAGAAGGAATTGATATAGTTAAAAATATGGGAACCTAAATTCAGTTACGACCGTCTTTGTAATATTTCTTATTTTTACCAAAATAAATTAAAAATTATTCAAAATTGTATTTTAAAATAAAAAATTATTATAATTTAAACAACACCAAATCGTTTTAAATGTAAAAATAATTAGTTTAATAAATAAAAGTCATGAAGAATAAAAAATAAAAAAAAATGTAATTTAACCTAATTATTAATTATGAATTAATAATATAAAATTTATTTAAATTATCTATCTATACATATATACATATACACATATAATATTTACCGACAATAAATAGGAAAATTTAAGCAAAACTAATTTAAAAAGGAAAAATCACTGCGCAACTAAATTGAAATTTGCAGGCCGAAGCCGGGGGACCCGAGAGGATCAAGAGCCATCCTTTCCTTTTCTCTCCTTTTAAGTCATTCATACTATTTCTATTTTTCAAACAAAGAAGAATAATAATCAAACCCCAATTCAAATTTATTTTTTTAAATTCATTTAATTATTTTTAAAAATTCTAAGCCGGAAGATTCTATTATGGTTTCATATCTATCACTTTCGTAGTAACAGCACCCAACAAAGAGAGAGAGAGAAAAAACGTGTTGGTGGCGTCAAAGCATGTATCTAATCTATCCATTCCAATTTTTCTCGCTCCTCATCATCTTCCCTTGTTTTTCGTTTTCCTATTCAAAATCGAAATCAACCCTTTTTTTAAAAATTTCAAATAATATGAATATAGAAAAAAAGCAACTTGCGTTGTGTATATATATCGGTTATTCTCCTTCTCTTCTTAACCGTCTTCTCCGCGTTCAACTCGCGTGCATTGCAGTCAGACAAAGCGAGAAAGGGAAGAGAATCGGAGAGAGAGAGAGAGAGAAAGCTCCTAGAGAGAGAAGAGAGAGAGAGAGGGAGAGTCTAGAGAGAGAAAGCAAAGCCCAAACACCCCCCCTTTTTCACCATTGTGACTTTCCTTCCGTTTCAGAGAACCCTTTTCAAATTTTTTTTTGAATTTTTTCTGGGCACTGGGCATTTTGTGATCGTCATCTGGGTTCTCTCGATCTCCGTCTTTTTCTGGGTTTCACTTTTTTCTTCTCCTCAGATCCTCTCCTTTTCATTTTTATCTCCGCTTTTAAAAATCGGATTTTTGAAGACACGGTTGTGTTTGTCTAGCAATTCTGAATTTCAGCCTCGTGGGTGTGTGTTTTTCCAAGGAAAGGTTCAGTTTTTCATAGTGGGAAAGTGTCAAAGGGATTGATTCCTATCTGGGTGTTGATGCCATTGTTGGTGTGTGTTTTCTGAGAGCCATGATGTTGACCTCAAATGTGTCGTTCTGAAGTGATATGGAAGTCGTAGTTAACGGTTTCAACAACATCAACAACAACTTAAGCAATAAGAACAACAACAACAAGAAGAACAACATGTCTTTTTACATTGGTCGCGAGGCTTCCAAGGTTGGTTATTTTGTTTTTGTGGACCGTTTTCCATTTTAGTACACAGCCTGTTATTTTTTGTTCCCTCTCTATTGCTAATTTTAATCTCTGTAAATGTATTGTTGTGCAGCTATGGAAGAGATTTTGTGCAGAGACAACTACCGAGATCAACCTCCTTGCGGAGAATTGGAAATACCTTCTTGCTGGTGTATTTTTTCAGGTTATTTTCCCCCTGTGTTGGTCAAACTTATGAATTGTTTAGCTTTAGGTTGTTCTGTTTACCCTTTTGTGAAAGGAATGCAAAGGTTCTTTTGTCTTTCTTTTTTTGTAAATAAAGGTTGAAATAGTTTTCACATGTGGTTGTGGTGGGAACATTGCTTGAACGCTACTGAAAGTTTTCCTTCGAGTTGGTGTGGTTACTTCTAGAGAATGCTTGTTTTCTTTATTAGGAACCTGGTTTAATGTAATAGTCTTCTGTGTTTAATCACTAAACGTTATTTTGGCGATGATTATCATCTTGTGTCAAGAGTTTGAAATATGAAGGAACTGGTATCTGTGCAGCATTGTTTGTATTATTCTGCAACTCTGAGGATCAATTATTAAGTCCTGAATGAAATGCTGATTGCTGGCTTAAGTACCGGACATTACTTATTTATTACATCTTAATTGCGATTTACTCAAGTCCATGTGGAACTCTCTGTTTCCCATGTTGGTCAAATGTTTCATTTCTCTCATTGAAAGAAAACCTTTAATAGTTTGCAATTGAAGGCAAATATAGAGTAGAAATGCTGTATAAAGCTTTCTTTTTTGGTCAGTGTAGGTAAATGGAAAAGAAATAAGAATGGCAATCTTTTGTGTATATTTTTCTAAGCTTTATATCCTTGTTTAACGTTGCATGAGGAGTGTTTTGTCTGTATAATACCTTAATTAGTTTACTATGTAATTTGGCATACTTCTATTTATTTATTTATTATTGTTTCATATCTAAGTTTGAATTAAATTGTTTCCTTACAGTACATACATGGTTTGGCTGCACATGGAGTTCATTATTTACATAGGCCTGGCCCTACACTACAGGATCTTGGGTTCATGCTTCTTCCGGTTTGTATTGTCATTCCCTTTTCTCTGTCTCTCTTGAAAAATCTGTCTTACCTAGGATTGCCTTTTGAATTTTTAATCTTGGTGCTGTTACAGGAGCTTGGGCAAGACAAAGCTTACATTAGTGAATCATTGTTTTCCTTTATTTTCTTATCCTTTGTCCTTGTAAGAATTCCTTCCCCACTTCAATTTCTTCTCCCTTTATCTGCTCTTATTCCGTTGCCAATATAGTGTTTTTTTCCTATGAAATTTTATTGATATGCTCTACAACTTGTGCTTTTGCAGTGGACATTTCATCCTTTCATATTTAAGAGCAAAAAGATCTACACAGTTCATATATGGTGCAGGGTTCTATCTTTCTTAGTTGTAAGTGATCACTATGTATTTAGTATTGTCTAACTCATTTAGAACTGTTTAAACATTTGGCTGGAGTGCCTAGGGTTAGAAAATGAATTGGTGTGTTACCTATGCAAAATGAAATCCATGATGTCAACAATGGTAATGCTCATTATTAAAATAATAATAATATCATGATTTGGCAGCCTGTGTCTTGTTATGCTTCAATGCATCGATGAAAAGTGAGCATCATGACTGTTCGGCTTTGGTTTCCTCTCCCTCTATATGTATATTTACTAGCTTTCTGTAGATTATTTCTGAAGTCTTTATATTTACTAGTTGGATTTGCTCTTTTCTTCTTTACACGTGTTTCTTAAACCTTACTAGTTCTGAAACTTACTGATAAAATTCCATGAGATATCTTATAAATGAATAATTGTCATTATTTTGGAAGTAAATTAAGCTTAAGGCTTAATAATATGAGCAGTTTAAGGCATGAAAAAGGTCATAAATAAGATATAAATGATCTGGGAAATTTCCATTGTAATGACCATAGATCCATTATTAAGTTTCCTCATTCCTTCACTTCCTTTTATCTAGTGTAGCCAGCAGAATCAGTTCATGTCCATTTCAATTCTTTTGAATCGATTTAAAAATCCACTGCATGCAGGAGCTATATAACAGTTTCTGATAAGCTTGTTTCCTATGTAATTGTCAACTGCAGGCTTCCCAAGCCCTTCGCATAGTGACATTTTATGCTACACAGCTTCCTGGTCCAAATTACCATTGCCGGGAGGTATACTTATTTGAGAACGTGTGCTTGTTAAACAAACATGTCACTTGCAGTTGAACTTTTATGTTTTTGTGAGTGGTAGGATTTTCTTTTTTAACTTCATGTATTATGCAGGGATCAAAACTTGCTAGACTGCCTCATCCAGATAGTGTCCTTGAAGTCCTCTTGATTAATTGTTAGTATACTATTACTATTGTACTGTAGTTATTTAGCTTGGATGCCATTTTGGTTGTTTTGGTGCTCATTTGATTTTTCATTGTGCAGTTCCTCGTGGTGTAATATATGGATGTGGTGATTTGATATTTTCATCACACATGATCTTTACTCTAGTCTTTGTTCTTACATATCATAGATATGGCACTAAAAGGTAATTTGGCTCTTATTTTCTTTTATATTGGTCAGACACTTTTTTTTAATATATTTGTTTTGGTTGCTTCACTGTTTATTGGGACAATTACCACAACCTCCCTTGAGGTTTGTACTAATTACACATACAACCTTTTTGGTAGAAAAATTACACCAAGTTCCCATACTTTTATATTATTCTTACACATTTGACACTTGTTATATCTGAAAAACTATCCATAACCGCCTAGTTTTTTTTATTTATTTTAATTAAACCATATATTCGATGCTCTCAAAAATAACAAAGCAAGGGACGTAAGTGTAGTTTTTCAATCAAGAAGGGTGTGGATGTAATTATCCTTAACCTGAAGGGAAGTCAGTGTAATTATCCTTATTTATTTTATGACTTGCCATTTCTCATTACTGTCATATTGTACCATAATTTAAATTTCAGTTATAACTTACTGTGCTTATTCTTGAATCACTACAGATGTATAAAACAACTAGGGTGGTTTCTTGCTGTGTGTCAGTCTCTTTTGATTGTAGCATCACGCAAACATTACTCAGTTGATGTAGTTGTTGCCTGGTAAGAAACATTTTCTGGATTGCAATGGTCAAATTGTGTATGGTCCATGTCCAATTTTGATTTATTGTTTTGATCCCTCTCAGGTATACTGTTAATTTGGTGGTGTTTTTTGTCGAGAAGAAACTACCAGGTTTGCAAATTTGGACATAATTACAAATGCTAATTGTGAATTCAACAGAAATTTGTTGTTAATGGTAACTTGGTCATTCTACAGAATTGCCAGACCGGACAAATATTGCTGCAACCATGCTGCTACCATTAAGCACCAAGGACAAAGATGAAAGGGCCAAGGAAGAGAATCACAAGTTGTTGAATGGGAATTCAATTGTTGACCCTGCAGATTGGGTGTGTTAAATGTCTTCTACTTGTCCCTTTTCCCCTCTCTTCTTTATGTGATGTCATTGTCTTAGATCTGGACATAACATGGTTTTTGTGACTTTACTCAGAGGCAGAGAACTCAAGTAAATGGCAAGATTCTGGAAGATGGCCATGCACACCATGCCGACACTGCAATGAATGGTGCATAGATGTGTGAGCTTATGTTGCACAAAGTTGAAATCTGCTGCAATGCAACACTGCCTTTGGGAAGTTACAACTTACAGCCTACAACTACAATTAGATTTTGTTACTAGGGAGGAAATATTGGTAGCACGAGTTGTATTATTGTAACTGGGTTGTGTGCTTTTTAACATATTGCAGCCCTGATCCATTGTTAAATGATCTAGCATCAGCAGTGTGCTATAGCAAAATTTTCCAATTCACATTGCCTCATTCAGAACCATGTGGATAGTCCTTCCAGTTTCTATTTTGGTGCACCATGACCATGCTGCTTACATGATGAGGAAATGTGATATACATAAGCTTCTGATGTAAGAGTTAATTCGAATTACTAGGCCAATAGATAAAGTAAAACATTTTGTCGCTTACTGACCAAAGGGTTGGTGGAAGAAATCTTGTGTCCTCTCAGGACAATGTCAGTCCCTGAAAATGTAAAAACATGGCACATGGTGTGCACACATGATTGAATCTAGAAAATTTCAAATTTATATTAAATTTCTGCTGTTGAGACAATTATGACTCTTACCTAAATATGAGGATGGAGTGGATTTGAGTACTTTCTAGTTTTATATCTCCAATTAAAAAAGGACATCATTAAATTTTTTTTTTTCTAAGTAAGATTACATATTCTGTCCCTTTTTCTTGTTGCGGTGTTAATTTTTAGTTGAAGGACATGAAAGGAGACTAGAAATGAAAATATATTAATGTGTGAAAACTGCCGTAGAATTGGGGGTGATTTAAGGTCGCGTTTGGTTATGAGGGAATGGAATTATTAAAATCAAGATTATATTAAAAAAAATTGATGAAATATATTCAGTTATTATTTAACTTTTTACGAATAATTTGTATACTGTCAATTATCACGAGAAAGTATAGTAATTTTACAATTAAGTATTTTTTTATCTATAAATTAAGGTTTTAATGTATCTTTTTCACAAATTAATATCTTAGGAATGTTGTGTCTTAAACATATTTTTGTTTTCTTTTAGGTGTGTAATTGTTTTAGGTCATATTTAGCCTAAATTAAGAACTAAACCAATGAAACATAGGCAAGTTGGATTAGGTAAAGTTTGCAATTTTTTTTTTTTAAAGTAATACAACTTAAACCAATCCGATATATTTATTTTAAAATTAGAAAAATTAGAAAAAACAGAAGTATCTAATTAATTCAGCTAGTTCAAACTCAAGATATCTAAATATACAAAGGCTAGCTAAACAATAAAACATGCACAATTAAAAGTTAGTGATGTTATCAAAAGCTCCTATGTATGGTCAAATTAAAACACAAATTATTGTCCAAATCCAGCATGATCACAAAAATATATATTTTCCAAATGACAATATATATTTCAAACAACTCGTCTTACATATACCGATAAACGATAGAAAAATTAGAATAATTATTATTTTATCACCAATATTGTATTTAAATCGGATTGAGTTTGATCAATTAGATTGAAAATCTATTAACCAATACTCAAATCAATTAAAACTGACGAACCAAAAAAAAAAAACAAATTAAAACTGTCCAACTAAAATAAATTCAAATCAACTTTGATGACAAGTCAACCTACTAAAATTTAGTTGCATTAAATTGGTTTAACTAGCTTCAGGGATTGGTCTCGATTAGCTTACACTCTTATTTTCTTTCACCTATAATTTTTTTTTAAAATTTTGTAGAAATTTACAGAATATATATATGTATATATATATATATATATATTAAATAAATTGAAGTAAACATGTATGATTAAAAGGGCTTTTTAACTATTTATTATTTTAAAATAAAATTTTAAAAACACAGATTGGTAAAATAAACCAGAAACTTTTTAAGACAGCTTAAAAAACAAATATTATTGTCCAACATAATTGTTTACCACATGCTGTATACTGATTATTAAATGGTACATTGCCATAAATGACGAGTTTGGTGGTTATCAAAAGTAACGAAGCTCGAATAATTCCTAAATACAGAACTTCAAAATAAATTTGAAGCAAACATGGACATAAATTAGAAAGATATTGCAAAATCTTAAAAATAGCTGTACTAAGTGCTAAAATTAATCAGAATTCGTTTTTTATTTTTACACAATCAGAATCAGTTTTAAGACAATTCTTTTTTATCAATAAATATCGAACTTGACACTAAATTTATTTTTTAGAGAGTTAAAAAAAATATCAATTTCCAAATTATTTATTTAACCAAATATACGTACTGATTAATTAAAAGGTACATTGCCTTAATTGACGAGTTTGGTGGTTATGGAAAGATAATGAAGCTCGAATAATGTAGTTCCCTATATATGAAATGGTGAAAAGTAACATTAACGAGCACATGGGGCTTTTAGGACGTGTGACACATAACAATGCTATATGAATTGTCCCCAACCCTTTTGCCTCGTAGCAATCCAATTTTTGCAGTACAAATTCCCTCAGAGTTACCATTTCTGAGAATCACATGCATTCTCCTTTTTGCATGGGCCATAATGTAAGTCTCTAAAGAGTGATAATTTGTCAACACCTTAATAATCCAAACATCTCAACACTATTTAGTACTCCTCCAATCTTTATTATATTTTTTTATTATTTTACATTAGTTATTTATATTAAATTTTACTAATATCATAATATTTTTTTTTTAAAATTGTTCTTGTTATAAATATTAAAAAAGTAGTACAACTAAAAATTATGTATTAAATCAAAGATATTTTTAGAGATACTATCATTAAATGAAATAAAATTAGTTAAAATTTGTTTATAATTAAGAAAAAATATTGTTTTTTTGCTTATATAAAGAATAAAGGGAGTACTTTGTTTTTATTTTATATCTAAAGATTAATGACTATACTACTACCTTCATCTCTATACAAAACACTCTTTTCATTTTTTTAGGTTGTCCTTTATGATAAGAGACAAAACATATGTATAGTTTCATAAATGTAATTAATGTTGTTCTCTAATCACATTTGGAGATTCACCAATGAAATATGAATTAATATATAGTGTTACTTAGGTTTGCATTAAAACTAAATGCATATTATTATCGAAGTAAATATCTAATTCTGATAAGAGAACAATATATAAAATTGTACTTGAGTTTTATCTTTTTATATGACCCTCTTCTAATTGTCAATTTTATTTGTTGTAATTAGTTTAGAAAAGTAGTTAATTCTATTATTATTTATTTTGTAAGAAGTTAGTTAGAAACTAAGCCTTATAAGACATATATAAAACTATGTATATACATACGTGAAGTAAGACAAGTTTTCTTTCATTCTCTTCTCACATATTTAGTGTATGTGTAAGGATTGGTATAAAACACTAACAATTGATATTTAGAGCTAGGTTTTTGATCTTGGAAAAAGAGAGTTTTTTGAAAATGGCGACAACATCAAGAAATCTACCAACTTCTCTTCCTATTGTCAATGGGAAGAACTACTATCCATGGTGTGCTCAAATGAAGGCTATCTTCTAGTTTTAAGATGTGACTGAAATCATCAAGACTGGAGTCCAAGATCCTGGTGTTAAAGCAACAAATGCACATAAGACATCATTTCAAGAAGCAAACAAGAAGGATGGGAAGGCTTTGTTCATCATTCATAAAAAGTGTTGAGGTAGATATCTTGGAGAATATATTAGGGGCCAGTGGAAGCATGGGATAAGCAAAGTCTTCTATAGGCATTGACAAATTGAAAAAAGTGAAATTGCAAACCTTCAAGAGACTGCACAAGTTGTTGTAGATTAATGATCAAGAGAGCGTGATTGAGTATTTTACTCACATGTTGACCCTCATCAATCAAATGAAGAAATATGGGTTACAAGAAAAAAAAATGGAGCTATAGTTGATGAAATCTTGAGGACCCTCACTCCAAGGTTCGATCACATTTTTATTGTGATTGAATAAGGAGTTGGAACTAATGGAATGAAGGTTGATGAACTACAAGGCATTCTTGAGGCACAAGAAATCAAATTAAATGAAAGGAACTCTATGAGATATTTGAATCAAGCTTTGTGGGCACAAACATCAAAAGTGAACTCAAGTAAGAACAAGAAATGAAAAGGAAATTAAAAGAAAAGGAGAAATTAGGATGATGAGTCATCGAATTTTGCACCCAAGAAATAAAGAAATTATGAAGATTCAACAAAAAAATGATGCACCCAATAATGAAAAGAGAAAAAACTTGATAAAAAGATAATATAGCGTTATAATTGTCAAAAGTTTGGTCAAGAATGTAGAGGAAAGAAGGTGCCAAGGAACTATGATGAGGCTCAATTGGCACATGATGAAAATTCTGATGGTAGTGATATGTTATACATGGCAACAACTACTTCTGATGAAGAAAGTGCAAATCTGTGGTACTTGGATATAAGGTGTTCAACTCACATGACAAGGTACAAATAATGGTTTGCTTCTATGGATAATAAGGTGAAAAGAAAAAATAGGTTTGCAGGCAAAAGTTTTGTTAATGTTAAAGGAATAGGCAAAGTGATGATTCAAAGGAAGAATGACCAACAAACTCTCATTAGTGATGTTTTTTTTGTTCCTAACATGAAGAAAAATTTGCTGAGCATAGGATAGTTGCTTGAAATTAAACGGGTTTTCTATGCATATGGAGGAAAACTATATGAAGTTGTATGATCCATCTAGCAAGCCTATTCTAAAGTCAGTTTTGTCAAGAAATAGGACATTTAAGATTGAACTCCAAATTGGTGAACAAAAATACTTGGAAACTTTGATTAGTGATAAGAGTTGGATGTGGCATCATAGATATGGTCATTTGAATTTTAGAAGTTTAAGTGATTTGAAAAACAAGAAAATGGTACATGGTCTGCCTAACATCAAAATTCCTAAACAACTATGTTTTGAATGTTGTGAAGCTAAACAACCTAAGAATTCTTTCAATTTTGAAATGCCTAATGAATCAAAAGTGAAACTAGAAGTGGTGTATTTTGATGTATATGGATTCTTTGAGATACAATCCTTAGGAGGAAATAGTTATTTTGCCTCTTTCATTGATAGGTTTACTCAAAAGATCTAGATCTATTTCATCAAACAAAAAAGTGAAGTGTTCGAAAAATTTAAAAAGTTTAAACTACTGAGCGAGAAACAAAGTGGTAAAGTTCTAAAGATTTTAATTAAGGATTGGTTTATAAGGAGAGTATAACTCCAATGAGTTTCAGTAGTTCAATGATAAAAAGGAGTAGTTCATGAAGTTATTGCACCTTATACATCACTACACAATGGTGTGGTAGAAAGGAGAAACAAAAGCATTCTGAATATGGCTAAAAGTATGATGAAAGGGAAAAAAATTCCTTATTATTTATGGGGAGAGGTAATGTTTACTACTGTGTATATTTTGAATAGGTGTCCTATAAAAAAGTTGCAAGGATGTACTCCTCAAAAGGAATGGTCAGGTTATAAGCCAAGTGTGAGTCACTTTTGAATTTTTGGCTCATTATGCTACAAACATGTGCTTACAAGTTGTATAATCTTAGAACGATATGGTTCACAT